AAGCCTGAAGCAACCGGTACGCCCTTGTCTGTATGCGCTTCCTTTCAACACCACCTCTTAGTGTCCCTCCTCGTGGTGGCCCTTATCCTCGAAGAACAGTTGCTCGGCAACGAGGTATCCAGCGAATGCAACGGTGGCTATGCCGAGGCCGGGGAAGGAGCCCTTGAAGCGGTTGAAGCGGGTGAAGGGTCCGGTGTATCGCCATTGCTCACTGGGAAGGTAAGTATGTGTGGAATGGGGCATGTCCGTGGTATAAAGCGTACTATCGTGCCCATGGGTCGCCCTTGGTACCGTTCGCAGAGGCAGCGGCGAACTTCTTGGGGTCGAAGCCGGTGATGGAGGGGCGTGGTGCCATGGTGATGGAGCTGGCATAGTCAGCAATTGTTGCGCGCAGGGAAGAACATATCAATTGAGCGCGTGTTGCTTGCTTACGTACTCTATGAGCCTCGTGAGCAGCTGGTGTGAGGCAAGGCGGTTGTGGAAGCTGGCGTCGGTGGTTCCTGGACCATCGTCAGTCGCATCTCGACATGTCTTGGCGGCGAGCGATCATACGCACGGCCTCCGCACGTCGTCAACTGCGGTTGCTCTCCCCACACACCATTCACACATCGCCCGCACCCCATCGCTATCACCACCCCAGACGCGTTCGTACAGCCCGAGGATACCCACGACTCTCGCGAGCTTCATCTAGGCATCCAAGAAGATCCATCATTCCGTCACCTGCACGAACATCCACGGGATCCACCTCACCCACGCACACGCGAATCGTCGCAACCACTACAGCAGCTTCACGATGCCGCCTCACGGGGGCCGCTTCCCCGGTCACAACCTCTCGAATCCCTTCGCGCATCTCTCGGGCCCAATACCACAGCAACAGCAACAACCGCTGCACCAGCAACACCAGCAGCAGAACATGCAACATGGAGGCTTCGGCGGCGGCAACCAGGCACACAATCTGAACCTCTTCGGCCAACATCAGGGCGGCTTCCAATCAAATGCACCGTTGGGTGGTGGACTGGGCGGAGCCGGGCTCGGGGCAGCAGCAGCAATTGGTGGGGCAGGCGGAGGCACAGGACTCGACGGGCATGAAGCGCGTATGAGATTTGCCCACGGCGCGCAAATACAAGAGAATGCTGCTCGTGGTCAGGACGGCGCTAAAGGCATTGCAGGACAGCGGATACGGGAAGTCTGGCGGTCGAATCTGCACCAGGAGATGGACATGCTGCGCTCGCTCATCGACCAGTACCCCTACATCAGCATGGTCAGTATGCCATTTTCCTACCAGCCGGTCGGACAGCTCTTGCTTGGGAGCTTTGTCTGATGCGTGTAAAGTCAGCCGTCAACGGTGGCGCAACGTCTTCTTTTGATGGGGTAGTTTCCATTCTACCTCTCCCCCCTCTTCATGGACTTCCTGCTCACTCTTTGAATAGGACACCGAGTTCCCCGGTGTTGTCGCGCGGCCTATCGGAGACTTCAACTCGAAAGCCTCATATCACTACCAGACCGTGCGCTGCAACGTCGACTTGCTCAAGATCATCCAACTCGGCGTCACCCTCTTCAACGTACAAGGCGACATCCCGCCATCGCATCTCGACATTACAGACCTAAACTACAAGCCAAAATCGCTGCAGCGACATGCAAACAACATCGTCGTCTGCCCATGCACATGGTCCTTCAACTTCCAGTTCTCCCTCGAAGATGACATGTACAACGAGGAGTCAATACAGATGCTTAAGAAGTCTGGCGCCGATTTCGAGAAGCACAAGGAGCTAGGCATCGACCCTGTCGAGTTCGGTTCATTACTCACCACATCGGGCATGACTCTGTCGGAAGATGTCAACTGGATATCGTTTCATAGTGGTTACGACTTCGCATACATGCTCAAGATGCTCACCTCACAATCGCTACCCGAGGACGAGGATACGTACCGCAAGCTCGTCAATGTCTTCTTCCCCAAGTTACTCGATGTCAAGTACCTTTGGCGACATGCGAACAACCTTGTTCGGCGCGGTGTTATCGGATCGACTGCGACCAATATACTCAATAATCTAGGCACAAAGTCCGGCCTTCAAGATCTCGCCGATGAGCTCGGTTGCCAGCGTGTGGGCAACTCACATACAGCAGGATCCGACGCATGGCTGACAGGAGTCGTTTTCTGGGACATGAAAAAGAAGATCTTCGACGGAACCATTCCCGATGAGATGAGCGGCCACATGTGGGGTCTCACTGGTGTCGGACCACCAGCCAGCGCAACTGCGCAACAAGCTGTCATTGCCGCACAGGGGGCTTCGCAAGGCTTAACAGGCTTCCAGCAAGGTGTCAACAACACCTTCTATCCCGGAAACGCAAGGCACGGTGTCGACGGCCCAAGCACACCCACAAACCACCCAGCTGGTCTGGCGTCGAATACTCCTGGACCCACAGGCATGATGACCCCGGGCGGATACGGCGGCTACGGCAACAAGTAGGATAGTGGCCTTCTGCGGAATGAAGGAGAGTCTTCCAAATCTCCCCTTCTGAGCCCAGGCCGTGGTGACTTGTCATACAGCGAGTTTCTGCCAGGCAACAATTCGCATGGTGCCAGTGGCCATTTTGACAAAGGAAGATAGTATCCCGAAAATGCCTTTCTAAGGCTGAGCCTTGTTCGTCAGCCACACAATCGCTTACCCAGTGGCCATTGGCATGAGGGATATTACTATCCCGAAAACCCTGTTTTGAGACGGCATCGTCGTGGCCGATCGCACAACAGTCACTCATCTGGTCCCTCTAATCATCGCGGTCGCGGAGGTCATTCTTGGACTGGCTATCGAGGTGGCGGCAACATGGGCGTGCCACACAGTGCTTGAACGATGAGGGCGATCACATGGTTGAGAGTAGTTATGCTCGTCTTGGGGTGGTTTAAAAAGGGACTCGGACGGGGTGGCGTAGGATAGTATTGTACGATACCCGGGTTAGTGTGTAGCAAGTGCGGACCGTACTAGATCGTATGGTCAATGTTATTATTGCATTCATCGACCACTTGTACAGGAAAGCGCGTGACAGATATTGAGTGTCCTGGTCGGTTCCCAGCACGGGGCTGGCATAGACTTCACAACGAATCGTGCAAAAGAGTATAGTATTTGCTTGCAACAAAGCAAGAAAATTGTTGCGGAGGAGTCTCCAGTCTGGGACATCTACATATTGAACCTCGTCCTCTGCTTCTCCATGCGGCCCTTCCACTGCCATTCCTGGCCACTCTTGAACTGGATACCGCGATCTATCCTGCGGAGCTTGAGTGTCATCCTCGGTCTGTTAATTCTCGTTAGCAGTCTAGTCCTGAGAATAGTCCAAAGATATAGCGAAACTTACCCAATCTCCTGCATACCCACTTTAACATCCTCCACGCCCGGAAGCGGCTTACCATCCGACCCCACGATAGGTTTCTCGGTCTCGCGCTTATCCCTAAACACATAGCGATGTCTCCTCACGAAGATGTAATCGCGCTGATTGTGCAGCGTAAGGACCTGGCGCCCTTCCAACTCTGGTTTCGCAGGGAACATGTTCTGGAAGAGGTGGGCTGTGAGGATACCGAGGGGAGTTTTGAACTGATTCAGGATGAGCTCGGGATAGTGCCCTGTGTCGTTTGCGTGGCGGGGCAGCTTCTTTCCCTCGACCCAGTTTGTGAGGGAGAAGTGGAAATGAGGTCCGTCGGGCAGGGTGACAATGTCGAGGCCGTCGGGCTTCTTCTCGTGCTCGGCTTGCATGAGGATTACGAGGGCTGTGTAGCCGCGTGCGCTGGCGAAACCGGCGATTTCCTTGACGCTGTATTTGTGCGCGTGGACGTGCTGGGTCCGTCTTATGTAGGTGCTGTTGGGGAAGAGGGAGGTGAGGATTTCGGCTTCTTTGTGGAGCGTCGAGTTGATGCTGGTTGTGATGAGGATCTGGGGGTCGTCGGTGCGCGGGTTGAATATCGAGGGGAACTTTTGCTTGAGGAATTCGGGCGAGAGTTCGAGGTTTGTTGCTGTGGATGTGGCGCTGGGACTGGAGGCGCGTTTCCCGGGTTTGGAAGAGGCAGCGTCTGAATCTAGGTCGGAATCGTTGGAGTCGAGAGAGGGTTCGGATTCGGAGTCGTCGAGCATGCTGTCTGCTTCGTCGTCCTGGCTGTCGTCCGAGTTGGCTCCGCCTGCTTTTTGGTCGCGCTTCTTCAGTTTCGCTAGTATGCCCTCGTCCTCACCGTCGTCGCCGTCCTGTTGTGCCGCTTCCTCTTGCTCCACCTTTCTCCTCTTTGCCAGTCTCTCCACATCAATGGCCCAACCCAGCGCATCTTCTTCGTCGCCGACTGGTTCGTCCCATACTCGCTTGCCGTCGATGGTCGCAGGCTTGTTTTGTGCTAAGCGCTCCTCTCGTAGCGCAGGGTTCTTCTCTTCCTCGCGCTTGCGACGGAGTCTTGCGTCTCGTTTTTCTGATTCGCGCGCCTTCTTGATAGAGAGATGCGCCGCCTGTCTGCGCAGTTTGTTCTTGGGCTTGATCCCAGAGGCGACATTGGGGCTCTTGGAGAAGGCCATGTTGGAGCGGGGTCACGTTACTGGTCCGTATTGGAGTGTGTGGTCTGGTGTGTGTCGCACTGGCCGTGGAGTCCGCAAGACGGTGCTGCTCAACTTTTCGGTGGAGCCGCGGCCTGTGCTTTTCCGCAATCTTGGCGCGCCACACATTAGCAGAGCCTCAGGCGTGTCGAACTCGAAGCATCGCTTTTCTTGGTTTCCGTGCCCGAAGTTTGTAGCCCGTTTGTACATTAGACCGCGTCGCTCATTAGTGTTCTCTTGTCGCATGCAAGAGAGGAGCCGTAGTATATGCGCCGCCTAATTCCAGTGCGCGTCCCCCAACTTGCTGCGCGTCTGCCTCTACGTAGGCCCGTCCAATATCGTGCCCCACCTCCGCCGACTCATCCCACCAAGCACTTCTCGTCCACACCACCCCTCTTGCGATACAAGGTCACCCTGCCCCAGCGGAAGAACGTCGCCATGCCGAGCGATACCACGACCCACAAGGGCAAGCCCTTCGAGCGCGCTGCCTTCGAGCAGCTTATGAAGGTGAGTGCGACGGCCCCAACACTGTCCAATTGTGCTAACAGCAGCCATTGTAGCACAAATACTTCTACGCGCCCTCGTTCGACATCTACGGTGGTGTCGCCGGCCTCTACGACTACGGCCCGCCCGGCTCTGCCCTCACCGACAACATCGTCGACATATGGCGCGAGCACTTCGTCCTCGAGGAGGACATGCTCAAGGTCGAGCCCACCATCCTCACCACACACGAGGTCCTCAAGACCTCCGGCCACGTAGACAAGTTCGCCGACTGGATGTGCAAAGACCCCAAGACGGGCGAGATCTTCCGAGCCGATCACTTGGTCGAAGAGGTTCTCGAGGCCAGGTTGAAGGGCGACAAGGAGGCACGCGGCCAGAAGGTCGAGGCTGAGGAGGAGGATCCCAAGAAGAAAAAGAAGAAGGTCAAGAACATCTCGGCCGTCAAGCTTGAGGACTCCATGGTCAAGGAGATCGAGGAGGTGCTGGCCAAGATTGACAACTACAACGGCGAAGAGCTCGGCCTCCTCATGAAGAAGTACGACATCAAGAACCCCGCTACCAACGGCGAACTCCTACCGCCCGTCGCATTTAACCTCATGTTCCAGACCTCCATCGGCCCCTCGTCCAATCTGCCCGCATACCTACGTCCTGAGACCGCCCAGGGTCAGTTCGTCAACTTCCAGAAGTTGCTAGACCACAACAACCAGCAAATGCCCTTCGCCTCTGCCTCTATCGGCAAGTCGTTCCGCAACGAAATTTCCCCGCGACAGGGTCTGCTACGCGTACGAGAATTCCTCATGGCTGAGATCGAGCACTTTGTCGACCCGGAGGGCGGCAAGAAACACCCACGCTTCGAGGAGGTCAAGGACGTTGAGCTTGAGCTGCTCAACCGGGACGTACAGCTTTCAGGCAAGACCACTGTTGAGACCACCAAGATTGGCAAGGCTGTCGAGACGGGTCTGGTCGACAACGAGACACTTGGTTACTTCTTGGCCCGTATCCAGCTGTTCCTGCTCAAGCTCGGCGTCGACCCAAAGAAGATTCGCTTTAGACAGCACATGGCCAATGAAATGGCCCATTACGCCGCCGACTGCTGGGACGCTGAGCTGCTCACATCATACGGCTGGATCGAGTGTGTCGGTTGTGCTGACCGTAGCGCATACGATCTCTCAGTCCACATGAAGAAGACCGGTGCACCTCTTATTGTCCGTGAAACACTAAAGGAGCCGAAGAAGGTTGAAGAGTGGCAATGCCAACTCGACAAGAAGAAGTTCGGTCCCACCTTCAAGAAGGACGGTAAGACTGTCGAAGCGGCCATCGAAGCACTGTCGCAAGATCTCCGTGAGAAGCTATCTCTAGACCTAGAGAAGGAGGGCAAGATCGTCATTGACGTTCCTGAAGTTGGTGATGGCAAGGTCGAGGTACCAAAGGAGCTCATTACCATATCGAAGCAGACCCGAGTAGAACACACACGGGAATACACACCAAACGTCATCGAGCCGTCATTTGGTATTGGCCGCATATTCTACGTAAGTACCGATGCGTTGAGGGCTATGCATACCTTGCTGACTGATCCAGGCTCTATGTGAACATGTCTACTGGACCCGTGAGGACGACGAAGCCAAGGCTGTCCTGTCCTTCCCTCCGGCCGTCGCACCGACCAAGGTGCTCATCGTGCCACTCAGTTCAAACCCAGACTTCGATCCGTTCGTACGGAAACTGAAGGACAAACTGCGGAAGATTGGTGTCTCCAACCGCGTCGACGCTTCCGGTGCCTCAATCGGCAAGCGCTATGCCGTAAGTACTCCGTTTACCCTGTATTCTCGATCAGAGTCTAACACGTCCCAGCGTAACGATGAGCTTGGTACACCTCTCGGTATCACCGTCGATTTCCAGTCCATCAAGGACAACACATTCACACTCAGAGACCGAGACACTACTGGCCAAGTGCGCGCAAGCCTCGAGGAGATTGCTCAGGCCGTTGCGAACATCGTGAGGGGTGAAGAGACCTGGTCAGATGTTGCCGCACGGTTACCCAAGTTTGAGGGCCAAGAGGTCGACTGATTGTATAGAGCATGTCTATAGAAGAACTGCGTCCTAACGAGAAACGTAGCCTGTGTATTAGAATTGACGTTACTTTGATATGAAGCGGAAAAATCCAGCGTATTCCGCTTGCCAATGTTGTCACTCGCTCCTTCCGTGTATCACACCGTGAGGTGTAATTCGCCCGCGCCGCAACTGTGCGTTCAATACTTTAGCACACCGCACTTCGCGCCACCTTTCAGTCTCACCTTTTTCTCCACAGACAACTCTCCTGCTTACTCTGACCCGCTATGTAAAACTCCCCTCGGACATATGGACGCGGCACGGAAGCGCATCAGAAAGAGTAGGGGGCCTGCATATCAGCCTCACTCTGGTTGCACCTCCCGGGATCCGGGATGTCCGGCACCTTTCCCGTATACTGCAGGATCGCCCGACCGACTTCACAGCTGGAATGCTCCTCGATAGGCTGGTCGGCCAGTGCTGTCTATCACTTGCTATGTATGGTTTTTGATGGAGACAAAAGATATATTACTTCTACCAGCACCAACAGCTTGATAACCCGGCATCCCTGGTCGCCAACCCGTCGATTCTCTGGTTCGTACATACATCGGGCGGCACCCGCTGCATCTGCTAGGATCAAACATGACCAGCAATGACTCGTCCGCGTCGAGCTTACTCCTCTGCGTGCTAGGTGTGAAAAGTCTCCGAGGAGGATGGTCTGGGATGAAGCAAAGCAAAAGGCCTTGAAGCAAATGTGCCCTACACATTGTGCAAAAAGCTACAAGACGGTGCATTCACTCCCGGCAGTCCGGTTGACGATCTACTGGATCCGCTCCGCTGGCGCCGGTAGCATGGCCGCACCGTCAAAAAGCCCGGCGCCAAAAGTCTGTGCCTAGAGCCCAGCTGAGACGTCTAAGACTCTGCTCTCCGCGGTAGTATCAGCAAGAGGCTGCTTCAGTTTGGTTCTGGACTTGTGCTACGACCTTTTGTGACATGCTGCAAGCCGGCAGCAGGGTCTGGGTTCTTACGCGCTAACACCTGCGAACACGTAGCACGAACCGGAGATTGCGTTGTAACATAGCGATGGACGCATTCATGTCGCCAACGGGTTGACTCAGTATCAGCGCATCCCTTCGTCAATCATCCCGCCCGAAGGTCGAACATAGATAGCCTGCTGTCTAAGGCTGGGTTGGTAATTCGTCCGTGTCAGAGCCAACATGATTAGAAGTCAGCGGGCAGCTGAGCCTGCGTACCGTTTTTGTGGCTGTTCAGAGTCTGATGAGCATCGGTCGAGGCCTAATTCTTAGCAAACAGAGGTATTGGCGGTCCTGACCACCTCTTACTAACGTGCTGCAACACGTCTACGTCGGTCGCCCGCGTACCATCAACTATCGCGTCAGTCACCCACATAGCGCGATTTCCTCTACCGCCTGCAGATCTTCTCGCCGTAAGTCGCCCGTTTCCGTTTACGGTCCAGCACATGTAGACCGTATACGCAGTACCCACGCGCCCCCAGCATCAAGCGACCATCGCTTAGCATGCAGAACCTCAGCTTTTAGCACCCGTCTACTAGGGTACTACGGATGCAGCACATACCCAAGAGACGAATGATTTCTACTTCTTCCGTCTACCTGTCATTCTTGTCTTATTTGTTTAACGAGAACTGTTAGATCTTTTGCATCGGCTTTCCGAGACCATGGACGAGGGACAGCCACCACCCGGCGACGTGGTTGCCCCTCTCACAGGCGCTCCACTCAAACGCCGACGGGCTGACTCGGAGAGTATCTCGTCGATCGAGTCTAAGTACGTTGCTGTTTTCTATTCTTGCAGTTATTTGCCACTCTGCGTTGTGACGTGGTCGTTGGGGCACCTGGGAAGATCCACTCGGCAGTCTCCAAGGATCAACAACGATTGCTGTAGCCTTACGGGTGATCAGCCACCAAATACCACCGCACGGTATACAAAGCTGACACCTATCTCGACAGTCGCTCTGTCCGCACATTAGCTTCCGACGATCTAGAATATTTTCATGAAAATGGACGAACGTACGGCAATGAAACGTACTACCTACCATGCGTATACAAGCAGCATAACGACTTCGTAGAGCAGGATCGTTTGTCTCTACAGCATGAGATCTTCGTCCGCGCACTTCATGGCAAGCTTACCACTGCGAAATTACTGCCTACTACCCGAAGAATACTCGACCTGGGCACTGGACCAGGTCACTGGGCTGTTGCCATGGCGCGTCAATACCCGCACGCGGAGGTTGTCGGAATTGACATGACGGAATGGGATATAGACACCACCGAAGCCACGTTAGGCGACGCCCGGGTGACATGGGAGCTGGACGACCTTGACGTCTGGGGAAAAGAGATGGATGTCGACCAGCTGATCAACCAGCTCGCTACTCTAGATCTAGCCAATGAATTGGCTAATCGGACTCCCATCGACGCGCTGAGGAAGCCTAAGTCAACGGTCGATCTCAGTCAGCAGGGAAGGGAGCCTACGCCCGAGGAGCATTTGACTATTGATCTCTCAACACTTACCCCGCAGCCTGAACCTGGCTGGCACTTTAGCGACTCCTTTGAGCTCATACATTTACGAAACATGAAGGGCTCTTTTACGCACTGGGAAGACGTATATGCCGAGATCTACAAGAGCCTTTCACCCGGTGGATGTATCGAACTCGCAGATTGGGATCTCGGTCAAGTGCCCATGGGCCCAGGAGAGATCACAGCAGCAAACATACCCATGCCTACCCTACGGAAACTCTACGTGGCGTTCATGGAAGCATCATTCAAATCTGGCCGTCCACTCGGCCTCTTCTACATGCACCACACCTATCTCGAAGAAGCAGGCTTCGAAGACGTCCAAACGACCCAAGTCAACGTGCCAGTCGGACAATGGCCAAAGGACGAAGCGCAGCGATCGCTTGGCAAGATGATGTTTGTGCTTGGTATGGAGATGTTTGAGCCGGTTTGCTTGAGACTGTTGACGCACTGGGGGAGTAAGACGAGGGTTTGGACAGCGGAGGAGTTGAGAGCTGATATATTGGTCGCGCAAAAAGAGATTTATGATTATGTTGAGCGGTCGGAACGGGGCGAGGTGGAGGGGTGGTGTGCAAGCTTCAAGTGGGTTACCGCTAGGAAAAGTTGGCATGCGGAGAAGTGACCTCGGGAGTGATCGGCTGATGTGTCTGTTGATACTCGCATTTTCGGGGAAGGTGGTAATGTGAATTGGATATCGGTATTATGAGGCACGACTACCTTGCAGAAAACATCTCCGCTACAATGCACATCGACTGATACCGCGCTTGCCCGTATGTCACCGATGCAATGGAATTTCACTTTACAGAATCCGTCCTTGGGTAATTGAGTTTGCATCGATGACCTGCCAAGGAAGATGGAAAGGGAAGTCACCACCCATCATCCCAGTCGAGCACGGCAAGCACGCTGGTCGTACAGAAATCATCATGTTCGGAAGGTGGAGCCGTAGCAATGACATATATTCAAGTAACGACGCCGTAAGTCCGCATTTGCAAAGCTTTCTACCCTTAAACGTCCAAAGATGTCTACAAACCTCTCAGCCAACGAGCTCTTCAACGTCAACGGCATGGTAGCCGTCATCACAGGAGGCGGAACTGGTAGCCCATCCACATACCAGACTGAACAGCACTCCTCTAACAACATCAGGCATCGGGTTGATGATGGCCAAAGCCCTAGCAGCCAACGGCGCCCACCGCATCTACATCGTAGGCCGCCGTCCAGACGTCCTCCACTCGGCCGCCAAAAGCATCAACCCAGAGACCGTCATCCCGCTACCCGGCGACGTCACCTCACGCGAATCTCTTCTCTCAATCGCAAAGCACGTCGAGATCGAAACAGGCTACATCAACCTCCTCATCTGCAACGCAGGCATCATGGGCCCTAAGCCGCTCAAAGCAGCACCAGGATGCGCCGCGCCGTCAGTCGCAGAGTACGCAGCACACGCGCTCGAGACGCCCATGGCCGACTTTACCAACACGTATGCGGTGAACAACACGGCGGTATATTATACGGCGCTGTCCTTCCTCACGCTCCTCGATGCGGGAAACAGCAAGAAAACCACGCACGCTGATGTCCGTTCTCAAATTATAACGACATCGAGTATCGGCGGTTTCTCGCGTTTAACCGGCGCGTCGTTCGCTTACAATAGCAGTAAAGCGGCTGTTACGCATATGACCAAGATGCTGGCTACGGCGTTTGTGCCTTACGGTATCCGTTGTAATGTACTTGCGCCGGGCATTTTCCCGTCAGAGCTCGCGATGGGCATTATTGGGTCGTTGGAGAAGGGACCCAATGGGGAGGTGGATAGGAGTGTTGTACCGGAGGGCAGGACGGGCAAGGAGGAGGATATTGCGGGCGCGGTGTTGTGGATGGCGGGAAGGGCTGGGGGGTATTTGAATGGGAGTGTGGTTGTGGTTGATGGAGGGAGGTTGGGTATGTTGGCTTCTACGTATTGATGTTGTTAGCAGGAAAGTATTGAGATGGGATGGTTTGTGTCTTGCATAGTCATTGTGGAATTCGAGATGGATATAGTCTAGGGACGGTGCATGGTGTTTTACGTTAGGCGTGTACCCTGAGTGACGCAAGCCGCCCCCACTAGCGCGTTTCTCCCTGCATTTGCGGAGTTGAAGACACACCTCCGAAGACGCTTGCTAAACCTCGACTACCATGCGCGCGTGCTGACCACGCGACCATGCCTGCTCCAACACACAGGCTCAATTCCAATGAGCTGTTGAACTCGCCTGGTTTCCTAGGCGCGGCGGCGCGCTTCTGGCAGGTGAGCGAATTCACAATGAGGCGTGGTTTACGCATGGATAGAGATAGCTAACACACATCTGCAGCGCTCGTATGCCTCGGATTATGTTGGCATTGCCATTTTAGTATGCGGGTACATACTGGTGCGTAATCACAATACCAGAATGACCCCTCTCGGTTTCAACAAGAAAGCAAGACTGACAAACTAGGCACAGATACAATTCCTCGCCGAACCCTTCCACCGCATGTTCTTCCTCGACAACCTCGCCATCAACTACCCCCACGCAGAACACGAACGCGTCCCCGTCTCCTGGCTCTTCATCTACGCCGGCGCTGTGCCCCTCGCCGTCCTCATCGCCTGGGCCCTTGTCCTGCGCCCTGGAACGCACAAAGCGCACGTTACAATCCTCGGCTGGTTCATCAGCATGATCCTCACCATGTTCATCACCGACGTGATTAAAAATGCTGTTGGCCGTCCTCGTCCCGATCTCATCGCTCGGTGCAAACCCGCTCCTGGCACGCCAGCACACCAACTCGTTACTTTTGACGTCTGCACCGAAACGAATCATCACGTTTTACACGACGGATGGCGCAGTTTCCCAAGCGGACATAGTAGTTTCTCCTTCAGCGGCCTCGGCTATCTCGCCCTCTTCATCGCAGGCCAATGCCACGTCTACCGCCCGCGCGCCGACCTCGCCCGCGTCCTCCTCGCTCTCGCACCCCTGCTTGGCGCAGCGCTTATCGCGATTTCGCGTTGCGAAGACTATAGGCATGATGTTTACGATGTTAGTGTGGGATCGGTGCTGGGTATGGCTGTGGCGCATTATACGTATAGGAGATATTATCCTGCGCTGAGGAATCGGGGGTGTGCGGAGCCGTTTCCTAATCCTGCGGATGAGAAGGGCTGGGGGAAGGTTAAGGGGGATGAGGAGAGCTTGAGGAATGCCGAGGAGTTTGAACTGAGTGATCTGGAGGAGGGGGATGAGGAGGGGAGGATGTTGAATGGACGGCGGTGAAGACACTTGAATTCACGTTGCACTCATACAAGAAAGAAGCTGAACAGGTCTACAGACTACATTAAGACAAAAGCTTGCAAAGTAGGTGACTCAACGTTAACGTTAACGTAGACTCTAGGGTGTTCAGTTTTTGCCTAGGTTGGTGTGAATGAGAAGTTGTGTTGAGATCTAGAAGGTGGTGTTTCTATCATGTCATGCGCAAAGTTCAGGGCTGCGAGTCTTTCAAGGCTTTTATGTACCATTTAAGGCCCCTGCGCGTGTGTCAAGCTCCGAAGTTCGTCCAAAAGCTTTGTCCGTTCAAGCTTATACCGTTGCTTCTGTACATCATCCGCAGCAGATATGCCTCTTCGCTCTATCTGGTCAAGCCGGCGATTCTCTGCTTGATCTAACTCACTGATTAAGGTACGCATCTTGTCGGCGCGAGCCTGCGATGCGGTATTACTAATATCTACCGGGGTTGCTGTAGCTTATCGGAATGAACATAAGAGGTATCAAGGGGATTTCCTTCTTACCTGCGGCCGCGTAAGTATAAAGGTCTATATTCCATTTTCGACAGCTAATTCTACGTCAGCTACGCAGCGGTGCTTGTGGTGTTTGTAAGTGGGAATCTTGGCTCGAGCAGTTCTGAGGTGCCACGTAGGTAGCTGCGACGGCGGGTGCCTGACTCAGTTCCGCATCGTGCATCATGATATTGGGTCGCAACAGCGCCGGTGTTATCTACATATCCCATCAGTGCAGATGAAGATTTGTAGGAAGCGAATGTTTTGAGGTGATGCATTGAACAGGATTCCTCAGTTTGAGTATGAATTAGACGCGGTAGCAGTACAAGGACCTTCCCTACATCATGACGCATGCCATGGCCACCAGGACGTGCACTAGCGCGTCCTGAACGCGTAGGACCCCTCCCAGGTTTTCTACTGATCATCAAAACCACGAACATCAATTCTCTTCTGGTCTACTCTGAACGCGTATAGCCCATTCTTTTTGCAATTCCATCTGCAATGCCGTCAGCATCTGGTCGCCTATATCCTGCGAGAACTCTTCGCGAAGCCTCGACACGATGTTGTATGCTGCGTTGTGTCGCGGACACATAGATTCGGAAAAGCTACCACCGTCATCGTATCTTTCGGTACAATGGAATAATATCGTTGGGTCGAGATGGTTGAAGGGCGAACTGTCTGCATACTTGAGCGATAGGCATTTCGTCAAGATCAGTCTCATACCCTCTACGGACTTTAGGTAGGTTTCGATGGCAGGCTCGAAGCAAAGCGGTCGTTGACGGGCAAATTCTAGTACTAGTCCCGCAATGCCGGCAGCAATAGGAGTGGCACAGGATGTTCCTACCATTCTCTTCCACCCCTCATGTGGATCCTCAGAAGGAAGGTGTGTAGGGTACGCAGACCTTACTGCTTCGCCCAGGGCAGTAAATCTGGCTTTGTGGCTGAGTTGTGGAGGGTTGAACTTGGACGGGTTACCATGAACGTCTGCTGCATCGACCGCGATAACTTCCAAAGCTCGAGCTGGATACGACATGCCGGCTTTCGTTCGGATGCCTTCGTTCGAGCTCGCCGCGAAGAGTAGAACATTGCTAGCTCTAGCACGTCTAATCGCCGCTCGAAGTTCGTAATCACTGTCCTCATTCCAGCCTAGACTCATACTGATGATGTCGACCTTCTTCTTCTCGACAGCGTCATTAATGGCCTCCGCTACGTACTTCCTGTCGATTGCTTCGGTACCTTCGCAGACCCTGTATACATACACGTCTGCGTACGGGCAAACAGTGAGGATCACACCGACAGCATGTGTACCATGGCCTTTGCTGTCACAGTTCCAGGGCAGAGACGAATCTAGCTGCTTTCCTAACTTCACTCGTGGACTCTTCATCAGATGCGGAACTCGGCCCTGGGTGGCGCTCTTAGCCACGCCACTGTCGAGTACAGCGATCTTTACGCGTCGTTCTGTCTTCTTCGCCTTATAAGAGTCGTCCTTGTACCTGTCCAGCAGTACATGTGCATGGTCACGTAGGTCTTCGAACCAACCATCGGCTATGACTTCACTATGCATCGTTAACGAGACGTTTGATGTTTGGGGTACCTCGGGACTCACTCTTGGGCGCTCCAGTTTTGGATTGGCGCACTACTCATTTCGGAAATACTTCTTCTCAATATGTTTACGGATGAGGCGCGCCTGTGTCTTCCGTCTTCTGTCTGCACTACCCGCAAGCCTTTCTGGCCTGGTTGGTCGTTGGAGCGGATCTTTCTCAATCCATGAAGAGGGCTGGGATCATCAAAGTCTTGATGCCACCCACCGGGCACGAAACTATCCCTTACATCGGCCTTGGACGTCTCTTGGTGGATGATTGGAACAGATTCAGATCGTACATGAGGCTGAGATTGTGTGTCGAACCATATCTCAGCCTCACGAGTGCTGCTTCCCTGCTCTGGCTCTTTTCTCGACACGAAGGACTCAGAGATCGTTCTGGGCGTGATTGGAACACGCGGCGAAGCTGTTGGAACCAGCAGGTCTACCATCTGTTTGGTCTGCTTCCCTAACCACGACATTGAGGTGCGAACTATTTGATCTGTCGCAGGTTCGTTGTTTATCTTGCTAGATTGACCTGTGGTTTGCTCGGAATGCGCTCCCGGTGCTGGAGATCGATTACTGCGTTCCGGCAGCTGCTCCTTAGCCGAACCCTCGCGCTGCGCGCTCGATTGTGGGTGTGCATCTTCTGCTGGTGACACTGCTCGAAGGGACCTTTCCTTTCCAAGTGTTGTACTTTGCCACTCAACAGCAGAACTAGCGTTGCCCAGCTCTTCATTATGTGCCTCAAGCCCCTTCAGAGCCTTTGCAAGCGCATCCAACTGTTGCAATATGTTCTCCTCACCCGCTGGGTTTGCCGGGGGGATACTTTTCCTGGACACACGGTGAATCTCGGGTGGTGTTTGCTTAGACGATGGCTCTTCTGTAGTCTCTCTTTTTCTGGGGTTCACACTCGAACGTGAAGAGTCTTCCCTCGAGGAACTCTGGTTGTGTACAATGATCTCTATCGCAGGGGAAAACTTCACCTGATGTGTCGGACTCGCTTTTGCGCCGCTCACCGGCGTTGAGACCGCCTCAATCTTCGCTGGCAGAGCAGTGGTAGACTTGGGAAGAGTCGAACTTTCGCTTTTGCGGGATATCGCGTTCGGCAATACCTCACTCTGGGCTTTGTGTGTTGGTAGAGGTGGATGTTGCGCCACCGGTATCTCGGCTGGATCCGTCTTGGGGCTCTTCTTTTCGACCTTCCGGTGCTCGTCTTTCTTTTGACGATCTTTCTGTGACTCTGGAGGCTGCTTCTCCTGTTGTTTGGCTGAACCTTTTACAGTCTCCTGTCTCGTTTCTCTGTCTGCACCCAAAGGGTCCTGGGTTTGCGCCACTGGTATATCGGCTGGATCTTTTCTGGGGCTTCTCCTTCCCGCGTTCTCATGGTCATCTTTCTCTTTACGCTCCTTTTGTGGTTCTTGAGGCTGCTTCTCCAGTGATTTGGCTTGCGCTTTGGAAGCTGAAAGCCTTTCGGTGTCTCGTCTCGCTGCTCTGTCTGCACTCAAAAGGTCCTGGGTGTGTGCCACTGGTGTATCGACTGGGTCTATTCTGGGGCTCCTCCTTCCCGTCTTCTGGTGCTCATCTTTTTCTTTACGCTCCTTTTTCGGTTCTGGAGGCTGCTTCTCCAGTGGTTTGGCTTGCGCCTTGGGCCCAGAATTCTTTTCGGACTCCCGTCTCGCTGCTCTGTCTGTACCCGAAGGCTCCCGGGTTTCTTTCTTGTCTGGAGTCTTCTTGTCTTGCTGCTTATTCGTATCTTGCCCACGACTTTTCGGTCTTGTGTTTTCTCCTTCCGGACGCTTCATCGGTTCCTCCCCAATCTTTTTCCGGTCTGCATTCTTCTTCTGATCCTCATTACGGCGATCTTTCTTCTCCGCTTTCGATGCCTCCGGCTTCTCCAAGGTTTTTTCTTCTCTTGTCCTTGAGCTTTCCGCTGCTGGTTGCTTCGCTGTCTCCTTCCCTTTCCATCTCTTCTCTCTTGCTTCTTGCATTGGGGTTTGCTCGGCTTGATGTATGTCTTTGGCTTTTCTTTTGGCCACCGTTTCTCCATCTCGCGCTGCTTGCCTACCTGGCTCTTTCTGTTTCTTGTCTTCTTCCTTTGCTTTGCGCGCTCGTATGTCTTTCTCGTCTTGCTTTCGTTTCGTCTCCTCTTCCTCGCGCGCTCGTACCAAGTCAGCCTGCTCTTTTTGGTCCGCAACCTCTCTAAGACGCTTCTGTTCAGCTATTTGTTTCTTCTCTTCTTCTTTCGCTCTGCGCGCTCGTCTGTCCTTTTCCTTCTGCTTCCTTCTCGCCTCTTCTTCCTCGCGCGCTCGTATCAAGTCAGCCTGCTCTTTCTGGTCTGCAGACTCTTTCAAACGTTTCTGCTCATCTATTTGTGTCTTGAGCACTTCTCTCCGTCTTCTCTCTTCCGCTGCCGCGGCAGCTTGCTGTCTTACCTTGGCCCGTTCTTCTCGGTCTGCAGCTTCTTGTAAACGTTCTTGCTCAGCTATCTGTGACTTTAGGAGTTCTTCTCTTCGCTTTCTCTCTTTCTCTGCTGCCGCAGCAACCTCATGCAGACGCTTCTGCTCAGCCACTTGCGCCTTGAGCACCTCCTCTCTCCGTCTTTTCTCTTCCACTGCCGCGTCAGCCCGCCGACTTGCTTTCAAGTTTTGTCGGTCGATATTGATTTTACAGGTCCGAACCGCGTCCTCTGTGTCTTCTAGATACTGTTGGTATTCGGGCGATGATCTGGCTTGGCAGTTTTTCAAATGGAGGATCTCCATCACCTCGCTGAATTTCTCCAGGGCGTCGCCGTACTTCTTCAGAGCGCTCAACTCTCTGCCTAGGTTGTATCTTACATGTACGGATTCAATGTGGTCTTTTCCCAGACTCGCCTCCGCTCTTTGCAAGGTCGTCATGTTCAGATTTATTGCTTCCATAATGTCGCGGTCTGTACCAAGTTCGTACATGGCCGCTGCAAGATCCACCCGGTCCATACATCTTTGTTCCGCCGACTTCGATATGATGTTATCTTCGACAACTGCCCGGAACTTTTTGATCGCATTCTTGTAGTCTTTGCTCTCTAAGTACGCCCGCGCTAATTGTCTTTGAGCCTCCAGGTGGTTTTCCTTGGACGCCCGTGCCGGGGCGCTAATTTCGCGAGAAGAACCCCGGTCCCGTCTGTAGCGCTCGAGCGTACGTTGCTCGTTCTCCAGTCCACACACAATCGCCTTCTGGAAGTCTCCAGCCTTCATAAGGCTTGCGGCTAGGCGTTCACGTATCTCCAAAGTCTTTTGATCAAGATTCCCGTAGTGTTGTTCGGCCAAATCGGTCGCTCTCTCCCACGCTATGACGACACCTGGGAGAGAAGCCTTACCTATATTTTTGGCTATAGCCTCAAGGCTTTCAGCTTCAGAACGGAGTTCGTTGATTCGGGCATCGAGCGTCATCTCAGGAGGGGAGGACCTTCGCCACTCCTCAAATCCGTCCTCGCGCCGTACCGGTAAAGTGTTGGCAATCTGGCATACAAAAAATAGAGAAGAGGTCGGATCCCTCCTTCGGTCGTTCCGCGTCGTCGATGTGTAATCGATCTCGAAGTTCTGCGGGCCGCCTCCCGATGTCATCCGGGCTGCGGCGCAGTGGGGGCTGAAAGATAGCTCGCCTGCATACCCAACCTAGGCCAAGCGGATATGCAGAAGTTCAGCGTAACGCCGGGTGTACTGACCGTTTCGAACAACCCCCCGCCTCCATTTTCGGCGCAGCCGTGTTTCGATAGTAGCCAGCCTTCTCATTTCGGCGCATCTTTGCACCTTGAGCAGGCTGTGTAGTTTCGACCTTTGTCACGATGCGAACTAGACTTCCCACATGCCTGTCCTGAAGCTTGCGCCTCGAATACAGTCATGGTTGACAGCACCGCCACCGGATTGCTCAGATCAATCACCGTCGCACGTCGTTCGTATACCTGAAGCGTTCCCAGCCGCTGCTCGCCGCTGGACCCCCACTGCAGCGACCGTCGAAGAGACTGGTCCCGTAAGCCCTACTCTTGCGCGACCATCTAGCGAAGTTATTGGAGGAGCTTTTGTGGGAGCTTTTCTTGGTCTACTGATTCTAATATTCCTGACATGGTGCTGTTGCTGCGGCCGTGGTCGTGGTGGTAAGGGTAGTAATACAGGTAGTGATAAAAGCTCTTCTACAACAAGCCCACCGTCATCCCCAAGAGCCCCGCTACCAGTTCCACCACCTGCTGCTCAAACTAGACCACCATTCAGTACCCGTGGTCTAGGTCCAGCGGCAACGTTACCGGTCCGTCCAGCACCCGGCCTACCACCTAGCTCAGCACATCATCCAAACCATCCTCGGGTCCCTCTTCATTACCATCAGCCAGTGGCACCTCCAACGATCCCTCCAACAACTCACCAAGCTGCTCCGACACATCACCCAGCTGATCAGCAGCCTCATCATACTCTTTATGAACCATCCCGAGCCACAAGACAGACGCGTAGACCAGCAGCAGCTTTCAACACAACACATGGTGGGAACCATGCCTTGGTAGTGCCGAGAACTGGCGGGATACCACGACCTCCGAGACACGATCGAGTAGAGCTTGAGTCCTTGCCGAGTTCCCTCGATGATCATCAAGAAAGGGTAAGTGTCCCCCTCTCAAATTTTGAATGCGAATGCTAAGCCAACACAGCCTGTCCCGCCGCGCACGCAAGGTATGCCGAAGATTCTGTTCATGAAGATATGATCAGTGAGATATCAGTCTCGATACCTTGGCGCCCAACATGAGTTTACTGGGTGCACACTGCTCGATGCAGTGAGCCCATCAGGATTGGACTGTTGGCTGCATTACTCAGCCCCACTCGTCATGCATCCACACGCAACCCTGCATTACCATGCATGCTTCGACTCATGTCTAGTACCTCTGCAACTAGCGCCTCACTATATATATGGCGCCGGATTACCATCGCACACTCAGACCACCACAGCGTCACCACATCCCCAGAGCTTCACGACGTCTTGGAGTCATCACTACATCTTCTAAGCGCCACTACATCACAACAGTACTTCCTCTCCCTCACCACCGCAAAAAAAAAACATGGCTACCCCCAAACCTACATACTTCCTCACCCCACCACGCCCAAGTCCCCCCGATGGCCCCATCCGCCTCGGCGCCATCATCCCCTCCCCCTCCCAACCCGACGAACCCCTACACCTGCCCTCCCTCCCACCCCAAACCGACACAAGCACCTTCACCGAACACAACTGGAGCGGCACATACAGCAAATCCTCCTCATCCACCTTCGGCATCTGGACCTCCTTCCTCGAAGTCGTGCTAGGCGCGAGCCTCGACCTAAGCATCAGCAATGATAAATCCGTGTCCCAGAACTGGAAAGTCGAAAAAATGACGACGCAGACTTTTCGGCCCAGTCGCGCGTTTCTGGAAGACGTGGTGAGGCATGAAGACGTTAGAGATTACATCACGCAGCACCGATTCAGAGAGAAAATATACATCATAACGGGTGTTATGATAGCGTCGTCAACTACGCTTTCCAGGGAACGGCTCCAGGAAAAAGGTGTCTATGTGCATGCGGGTGTGGATGCGACAGCGTGGTCTGGCGTACCGATTTCGGTGGGACCGGAGGGGAATTGGAAGAGGAAGAGCGGGACGAGCGAGCAGAGTACGAGGGCGGAGGACTTTGTTTTTGCGTATAGGATAAGGGAGGTTAAAGTGAAGAGGAAGGGAGGGGTCAAGTCGGATAGGCTGTTTGATAAGGGTGCGTTGTTTGATACGCAGGTTAGGAGGAAGGTTGAGGACAAGGGTGAGGTGGTGGTGGATGGCTTGGGGGAGGAGCCGGATGTGGATGATGTGGAGTTGGAGAGTAGGGAGGTGAGGCAGAGGGTTGGGGATGACGGGGAAGAGGAGGATGTTGTTTGTGTTTTGCCGGAACCGTTGGACTGAGTACGTGGGGGTGTATGATACGTAAGCGCAAATAGAGGAAAGTGGAAACTGCTGACAGCACCCACGGTAATACTGGTAACTGTCTAGTATGGCCGAAGCCAAAAGGCGTCACTGCTACACGATCGTACATGAACCGCCACCTCCTTTCAGTCCTCTCCGAACGCGACTTCTGCTCCTTTCGTCATTGCAGAAGGTCGCTGGTATAAGCTCCCGAAATGCATGCAAGTCTCCCAAGCGGTGGTATCCTCAATGCCCCCAACCAGTGTTTTACGCCGTAGATAGATGGTCATGAAATGCAGCCTCCCCCAAACGCCTCGCGCTAAGTTTCCTTGACAAATTAGGAAAGAGATGAGTGTATGATGTAGAGAGCTTCACTTCATCAGCCTACGCAGAATGCCCGCCACGTGGCGCAACGGTCCGCAACGGTCCGCAATATTGTGAACGGCCTAAGTGGATGATGTGCTACCTCGTCTGGTCCCCGTTATTCTGCCCTGCGATCCCGAGATGGTATTAGCGGATGAACAATACTCATACATGAGTGGAAGATACAACAAGAACGCGCAACATGTAATTAAGGGGAAGAAGAGCCCAGGTAGGTAGGGTAGGAGGAAGTACCCTGTCCAGGATAGCTAGGCCGCGAAGCAGGCTGTGCTGGTCGATAGGATTGATACCCATGGCGTGGTGGAGGTGTAGATGGAGGCCGGGAGTAATCAGAACGCATGCTGGCAGACCCACTATGGTAGGTTGGTGGCAGTGGACGACTATGGGCAGAGTGACTGCCGAGGGGAGGTAAATGATACCGACGGGGCGGATCAGGAAGGCTATTGGGGGTAGTGTACGCTACCTTTTTCGTTGGTCTTACTGGCTCATCATCATCGCTCAAGGTCAGATCCACTACTTCGGATTTTCTCTTCTGGCCAGACCGAGGGGCTGTGGATGTCTCGCGAGATGGCAGTGGAGGGGTGCTGAGCGAAGTGGGTGTCGGCGCAGCTTCGGTCTTGATGGCCTGTATACGGTAATCTGGTATCTCGATGAGGTCATCATCACTATCGTCATGATGCCCATTGTGCCCGTTTTGTTTGGGCTTCTCATCCTTTTCGGTCGACCATTGTCCGCTTGGCTGGATGGTGACCTGGTCCGTGTTCTGGGCCTTGTTGAGGATTTCCTCAACATACTGGTCGACGGCCAAGCCTTCGTATGATATGGTCTTGCTGCATATTGGGCATGTCCATGTGGGAGCTTGCTCCTGGAGCTGCAGAAATGAGTCGGCGTCAAAGCATTGATTGTGTGTGCACACAGTCGACCTGCATGGGGTGACAATGCGCAGGGTAGAGATTGGGTCCTTGAGCGACATGACGCTGGAGCCAACTTCGATGTCGGGGTCATTGGCCTTTTTCATCACTGTTACAACATTAGTCATGTGAGAGACGTTAGCTGCCGAAGGCCACTACATACTCTCATTGAGCACAGACTGCCTCGTGATGACGTGGCGCTTCTTGATGCGCTGTGTGAGTTCGTCGACCGAGTACTTCCTGACCAAGTAGACGAAGAGGTTGTACTTCTGCATTGGGAGTTAGCTCAGAGTCACCTTTGGGGAGCTGATGGGATAAGAAACCTCCGACCGACTTGCCTTCTGGGTCAGGGCGTAGGTGATGAGGATGCTGTTGCGCTGGTTGGCGACCTTGGTGCGGACGAAGTCGGTAATGTCGGCGGGGCGCGTAGAGCCTGGCTTGTTCTTCAAACCCTTGTAGTTGGCCTTTACCTCGTCGTCGTTGACCTTGACCTCAATTTGAGATGGGAATGCGATATCGAGACGCGAGAAGGGCGCCAATGGCTGTTCGAGCGCAGAGAAGAGCAGCAGGCGCAAAGATGGGTCTGTCTTTAGGCGTCCGGACTGGCTTTCGTTGAGGGTGAGGTTACGCGATATGGTGGCACGGTGGGTCGGCGAAGCGTCCAGAGACATGTTACTCAGTATCAGCTCGCGAATCTCGAAGAAAGGGCTCTCCTTGAAGAAATAGGTCGGGCGTGGCGGCATGGGTGGCTGCTGGGGCTGTTGGTATGGCTGGTATGCGCCGTTGCTTTGGTAGCCGTTGGCCATGCTGTACCCGTTTGCGATGGGCGGAGGGGGCTGCGAGTACGAGGAGGCGACGGGACTGCTCGTGGCTGGTGGAGGCGCTTCGCCGTGGTGTTGCACGCGGTATTGCAGTCGCCGCAGCAGGTCGGTGTCGCTCCTAGCAACGGCATTGGCGATGACTGGGGAGGGTGAAGTTAGCAGGTGAGCGGCGACAGCAAGCCGTGTTGCTGGGGAGCGGAGATACCTACGGCCAATGACGCGCGCTTGCAGTGCGGCCTTGTTGCCCGTCTGCGAGGTGCCCTCCTCTTTGAGAATCTTTTTGAGGTCGTTGTTGATGAGTGTCTTGGAGCGCTCGGTGATGGTGGCAGCCATCTGCTGCATGCTCGTCGCCATGGTTTTGTGCCGTCGCGGTGGAGAGGCTGGCGGTGTTGGAGAGGGAGGTCAAGGGCTACCGGTTCAGTTTTGCTCGCGAAGGCATCTGGGGCGGGCTATCTCAGGCACTCTCTCGGGCGGGTGACGTAGGGCGAGGTGAAGGCAGCGAAGGGCGATATCCGGCTATCTGAGGTGCAGTCGAGTCGGACGGGCGTTGGTCGCAACTTCCCCAAGCCCCCGGCGGCAATGCAGAGCGAGCAGGACAGGCGGGCGGGACAGTCGCGGAGCAGCAAACAGGCGAGCAGAGGCCGCAATGCGACTTTTCTAGTATTCGGCCGTCGAGGTAGGCGGCGGCTCTCGCGGCGAGCGCATCTCCAGCTGGGATATACCGAAGTCAGCGTCACCTGCAACTAGGCGAAGAACGCGACCAGGGCACGGGCCGGCCTGGCTTGATACGCCAAACGCCTTGCCACCAAAATTCCTCGAACTTTTCCCCACCAGCCGCCGCCGACGTGACCAAGACACACGCCCAAACACCCATTCACCCACACATTCCCCGGCACTCTCTCTACACAATGGCCAAAGGCGCACGCGCAAGCAGCAAAAAGGCGAACCGCACCAAGCTGCGCGCCCGAGTTTTCGGCCCTGTCGAGCAGGCACGCGCCGAGCGCCTGCACGCCAAACTTCTCGAGACGATTGCCCAGCCCAAGCCCGAGAGGACTGAGATGGAAACCGAAGAAAGTGAGTCGCCCAGCCGTCTCCCACCATATGCACCTTCTAATCATGTCCCAGCCAACACCACCGACGATGCCGCCAAGGAGGACTTGCCCAAAGGTTCGTCTCTGCTTACTGTCCCCATGCCACGCTCCCTATCCGATCCCTCTGCAAGCCCACTCGACCTCGCAGAAGAGGACTGCGAACTCGGGAATCTGTGTTTCCACCTAGGTCTGTGTTCAGACATCCTGGGCTTCACCGATGACGGCCATCTCAAATTCGCCTTTGACCCGCTTCCTCCGCACTGGTAGAGTGAGAATCAAGGGCTAACTTTGACTTGCTAGATATGGACGTCGACGGCACCGCCACCTCTGCGAAGAGCTCGAGCTCGCGCAAGACCAAGGACAAGAGCCAGACCCGGAAACAACTGCGACGCAAGCCCCAGAACAAGGTCTCCTTCCCTACTTCCCGAGGCAAGGGCGCACTGAAGCCCAATGGTGGACGTCCCAGCGGCCCCGGCCGTATCGGCAAACGACGAGCATGATTTCCATCCACGTATACTGGCGTTGTTCGATTGCATTTCCCGGCGTTTAAAATGATTGCTCTACAGCACAGAGCTACGGTTTTGGAGGATACCATGTCCATGAGGACTTGCTTGAACAGATTCGAGAATGTATGTTTGCACATGTAGCAATCTGTTGACTGAGATTGCAGTCAGTCTAATTTCAACTGCAGTGATTCAGCTGTTAATATTCTTCCTTGATTGTGCTTGCCGTGCTGAACATATTTGTACTTTGCACCTTCCTTACGTGATGCGCTAGGCCTGATATAGTGTAATTTCTCACCTGGGCAAGGAGATATCTCATCCGTCGCGCCTGCCTCTCTGTTCTTCTGTCGCTGCAGTGAACCCCACCCCACTTTCCACCTCATCTCCACTATGGCCAATTCCACTTTCCGCTTCCTCGATCTTCCGAAAGAATTGCGCCTTATCATCTACGAATACATCCCCATTACAACACGCCATCACGTTTGGGAAGACGCGGCAAGACATACTTCTCGGGGCGAGTTCCTGTCTGGAAATACCATTACACTAGTGGTCAAATCGATATCGACCGGGATACTTCTCGTTTCTTGTTCGATCCACGACGAGTGCAAGCCTATTCTCGACCGCAAGCTCAAAGCTCTCCAAGTTGAGCCACTACGTCTCATCGTCGACAAGCAGAGTCTATTGACCCTGACGAGACACAAGAACGGGGCGGATCCTGCCGTGAACAGCCTTTTTTGGTGTCTGAAGGACTTCATGAGATTCAAGACTGGACAGAGCCACTCACAGTGCTGGGATGAGGGCACCGTTCAATTATCGGGTGTCATGTTCAACTTCAATGGGCCAGAATACGCGCGCCTCATCGCATTCCTAAATTTGATAACGGAATTTCGTTTGAAGCGTTTGCCTCGCTCCAGCGTTATAGCTGTACGACACATAGGCTTCTATAGCGAGAGATTGCAAGTGAGCAACGACTTTGTCGACCCTGCGCGGCGTCCAATGTTCGGGTTTCCACCGCCTACTTGGACATACTATCCTCTGAAGCAGGATATGCAGCAAGACGAGTACAGCGTGAGGGACAACTTTACGGAACTGATTCGCTTATGCGGCAATGACCCCCACTTGAACTTTATCAAGTTCGTTGAGCCTGGAACGCCGGAAGAATGGGCTAGAGATTGGGAGGAGGGCGAATGGGCGACCTCAACCTAGGTACTGTGAACGATATAGTGGCAACCCCGAGAAGGATACCCTGGCTACACTATGAGGCACAGAAAGCGGCGCTATGCATTTCCAATGAGCGGGATAGCAGAAGAGAAGGGTACAAATGTGACTTGCAACATCCCTACCGTGCTTTGCAACATAGCATGTCTGGATTTTCCTTGCCTCTATATATCTACAGACAGACCAGGGTCGAAATCCACGTCTCCTAGCCCGCCAAGCAGTCCCCCGAAAAGACCTTCGTTGATGCTTTGCAGTGTCCAGTCATCAAGCGCCCCCGCATCGTTCGACGAATCAAGGAACGACCACCGATTGTCCCACTCCGTGAGTGATGACTGTGTCTGGTCAGGTACCTGAGTAGACAGCATCTCCTCAGCCAACGGGATATCGGAGGCTAGCCTGCGCTGTAGGCTGATGGTGCCAAAATGCGGCAAGTGAAGCTGCAAGACCGCCTTCTCAGCGTCCATGAACTGGCCATCAAATTCCGTCGCCAGCCCATCGTCTGTCTCACTAGCCGAAGTGTTGTAGCCGGTCCCATTTGCCGATGCCGCTTCGGCGTCGAGAAGATACTGTATGATACTCGATAGCTTCGTGGCGAGAGCATCGTCGCTCCTCTCCCCCAATACCTTGACCGTTCGCTCCATCAAAGCGCGATCGCTCGGACGGCTATGATCGAAAAGTGCTTTGTGCCGAATCATCGATTGGTTCTGCGAATCGATATGGGCCAAACACAGCACCATGAGGGCGACGAAAGCCAGACAGTCGACTCCTCTGCAATAATACGGACCGCGTTTCCACTTGCGAAACGCGATATATCGACTCATGATTTCGCGGGCAGCATGCACAGCTGTCGCTTTACTTTCTTCACACCTATCGTCGCCCGACGAGCGAAGAACATACGGCAGATGCAGGCGTATAACGAGGTAGAAGTGCGACAGCTGATACATATTCCTTACAACCTCATGCATCGGATCCGATTCGCCCCCGTCCTTGTTGTCAAAGTCTCGAATAAGCCACCAGTCCGACGGCATCAGCTCCGTCACCTCCCTAAACATGTCATCAATTTCCCGGACCCTTTTCTCCGTGATATCGCGCGGCTCTCCTACTTTACGCGCCAAGATACGATCTCCAATGACGCATTGCAGCCTCGCGATGCGGTCCAGCGGATGGCATTTTGCTATAACTTCAGCGCTCAGCCCGACCGTCTGCAGCGAAGACTGCGGCAGCCCCAGTGTCAACGAGAGGTAGCGATCCATCTCCACAATACGACAGCACAGCTGGTCTGGATCGAGGCTCTCGCGCGTCTTGGGATCCACCACCTTGATAGAAGCTCGCTTAGCATTACCACGATGCAGACCCAACATCTGCGCTACGGCAACGGCGCGGCGCACAGTCAGCCACGCGCGGTGCAGGTTCCCAGCGTAATTCTGGGTAATGGCTTCGATCATGATGCATTCGACGCCCTCGACAGAGGCGGTTAGCTCGTCATTGGAGGTCACCAGTCGCGTTGCTGTATCCATGGCATGAGCCATGACTTTACTGAGATGCTCGCGCTGGCTTCTGGGTATACAGTCATCGGATAGTGCGCCCTGCACTATATTGCTGAGTAGAAGGAGTTTCCGCGCTATCAGTACTGGATGCGATCCTGGTGGTGGTAGCTGCAATATCTTTCCTGGGCTATCTGGAACCTGGTTCATCAGGTTTGCAGAGGATGTCGTTAATTTCATGTGCATGTGCGTGGAGATGCTGACAGGGAGCTTGCAGATGTAGTCGAGATCTTGGGCTGTAGGCCATGCTGCGACGAGGTCTCGCGATATGCCAGTGTATATATCGACAAGTGCTGTTTCTGGTCGTTGCGAGAGATCTGTGAGTGTTGATGTGGTTTCTGTGGAGGTGGATGATGTGATGTTGATGTTTCTTGTGTGATCCTTGTGAGTGTCAGAGATGAATGTAGGATAGACCCCAGCGCGCTACACATACTATTACGCTCCTCGGTCTCTCCAATTCTGCATCTCCCGGATACTCGTCAGCAATGTCGTGGCGCCTGTCTGTCGACGATCCAATCAGTCGCTCAAGCAACGTCTCCACCCGACCCAAACGCGTCTCTAATCCAGCATCTCCTCTCTTGTTCTCATTCGGTTCATCCGCAAACTCCTGACTAACACAGTCTGTCTTGCGTCGCACGCAGTTACTACATTTGGACTTGGTAGGTGATGCCCAGATACATCGGACTTTCCGTTTCTTACACTCCCAGCAACTTTGAGTACCTTTACGTACTTTACGCCGCTTTGCCGCTCTTTCATCTTCATGGGAGTTAGTCTCAGGTGACGGGGAGGGGGACGCGTGCATATTCGATTGTGTGTTGATGGAGGTTGGGGAGGGAAGTGACAAGAGTGGCTGGTGCAGTAGGGCAGTGGTGTTCGGCCGAAACCTCGGACGAAAGCTCCGGACGGGTTACACAGCAAAGAGAGTACATTGTTCGCTATTAGAAACTTACTACTGCTGCAGTTAGTCTACGCCATCGCATTACCCCGAAGACCGGCTGCGCAAAATGGTTCATTCGACTGTCTTATCACGGCTTCCCCTCCCATGCCTTGCGCAAAAACGTCCTCACATCCGTGAACTCATAATCGGGCAACAATCGGTTCCATTCATCTCCCACATCGAAGGCACCTGCCCCAAAAGCCTTAGTGAAGCCAATCAGTACCATTTTTGCCATCTCCCCAGCCATCGCCGGTGGGACGGCATTATGTTCAAATTCCGGTAACCAGGAGGCAGTCCAGTTCCCGTTTTTCAAGTCCTCGTTGGAGAGTCTTTCGATGGCAAAGGGTCCACCTGTGATATCTTATTAGTAAACAAGCAGACAGCGGCACGGCTCATCTGAGCTGGAAGAAGGCGAAGGACTGACCTCTTATTTCTTCGCCAAGAGCAATGAGCTCCTTGATGGAGATGCGCGAGCCTCGAATGCCGCCCACGACCGGCCATTCGCCCTCGTAATCGATTGCCCGCGCGACAACGCCGGCGAGATCTTGTACCGTGGTCAAGACGATGGTATCGTCATCCCCGCCTTCTCGCATGATGGCCCTACGATTCTCGAAATCGTACATCACCCGGAGCGGCGTGAGATGTTTGGCTGACTTGTATGGAACGGTCAAGTAGTTGGAAAAGAGACCAGGCTGGAAGAGAGTGTACTCGATGACTTTTCTGTCTTTGTTGATCTTGGCTAGGTATTCGCGTATCGTGTCCTTGAACGAATACCACGGCGTGTGCTCTAAGGTGGATCTAGATTATGGTTAGCAAGCGCAGAAGAGTGGGCGATTGCAATGACTTACGAGACCCATTCGCTGGGTACGAAACGCTTTACACCAGCCCTGATTGAGGCATCGATGAGATTCTTCTGGAAGGTAACCCCTTGTTGCAGGTCCAGTGGCGCGATGAAAGATAGTACTACGTCTACGCCTTTTAGATGACTAGTCAGTTCAGCCACGTCTTCGTAGTTGGCTTTCACTAGTTTGACGGGCGAGTCGGTAGTCTCAGCGGGGACATCCTGGAAGATGTGTCAGAATCAAGTAAGGTGAGAGACACGTGGTAATGACCTTGCGTGTGAAAATCACAATCTCGTGCTTCTTCGTGGCGAGAAGAGCATCGATGCACTCTTGCCCTACGTCTGGAAAGATGTTAGTTCATCCCGTCGGTATGATCCGCGGGAAACCTACTTCCAGCACCGCCTGCAATTGCGAGTTTGACCATATTGGGTAATGGGGCTGTGTTCGGTGGAATGG